TGCTAAATATTGCTATACTGTGATCTATAAGCTGAAGTACAGTTATCAGAAATGTACTTTATAGCCTATAATGCACTGCATGATCTATATTGTCCCTTAAATAAAAACGAGGGCATGAAATAAGTCCTCTGGACAATCATAGATGTTATCACACAAATTGAAAAGAGTTAAGCAAAAACTATCTAACCTGTTTGAAATTGATTCACTGATTTATTGAGTACTAAATTATTTAGATAGTTAGCCTACATAATTACATTTCTACATAATTAGTAATAGGCCTAATATATATATAATACATTGTCCCCTTAAATTTAGTTTTTACAATTTTTGAAGTATTTTTAATCAAATGCATGCAGCCTCGGTGAGCAGAAGAGACTTCTTCTAATAACATTTAAAAAGAAAAAAAATCGTAATTATTCCAAACTTTTGGCCACCAGTAAACACTTTTACATGTTATTTTTGTTCTGCTGTAATAAAGTGTTCCAGAGTGTTGGAGAAATAAAAGAGAGAGCCGTTATAAACTATATATTAATGCATTAAAAAGTAAGAAAAGTGCATGCATGTAGGCTATCAAACACTCAGAGAGTGCCTAGAGTTTTAGACCGACAGCTGAAGTGTTTAATAGTGTGATTACACACTATAAAAATTTAAATGCAAAATGTTATTAAGAGGCATCTAAAAACTTAAACTGTAGCGCCACCTACTGTGCGATTCTTGAAAAACAAAGATAATCAATAACCTGATACACGTTACTGTTAGATTGCCCAATGCATATTGATTCTTACTTATTAAATTAATCTAATTTGATGTAGGCTAATCAGAAGAGGGAGTTATATGTTATATACAGATTTAGTATATCATGTCATACATGCTATTCGTTTAATTTAAAAGGCAGCGTATTCTGTATATTTAGTATACTACACCTAATATTTCTGCAATATCAGAAACAGTAACTTTATTAAGGTGTAAAAATAATCCAGACCGCTGCTGGATAATAGTCACGTGACACCTGTTGCATTTCTCAGCGTTGGCCGGGATGAACCAATCACAGCCGTGTGTGCTCAACGCGATTGGTTGAGTAGATTTAAATATTTAAATTCGTACGTCAGGTGTGGATTAGTTTAAATAATAATTTTAAATAATTATACTTTTTACCACATGAATATCAGCAACAAAACAAAACACGTCGTGAAATTTATAGCAAAAGGAAAACGCCACGATAGTGTTTTCGTGACTTTCAGTAAAAGGAGCGCGACTGATAACGGCTGTCAGGAGAGAGACGCTGCATTAGAAACACCCTGCTTTTTTGTAATTTGATGCAAAGGTGATATAACACAAAAGAATAGTGTTATAAACGTACACACATTTAAAAAAAAAATACAAATACGAAAAACTTTCGAGGATTTACGATTTA